CTCAGTCAGTTAAGCAGCTAACTTCGGCTCAGGTCATGATCTCACAGTTCATGGGCTCAAGCCCTGTGTCAGGCTCTGAGCTATCAGCACAGAATCTGAAGCCTACTTCAGATTCCTTGTCTGCCTCTCTCTCTTTCCCCTCCCTGCTTGTTCTTTCTCTCCTTCCTCTCAAAAATAAATAAACTTTAAAAAAATTTTAATGCTATCTCTATTATATATTTTTACATATGGGTATATGTTTAGCTTTGTCTTTTTTCTCACTGATCTATCAATATTAAGACCCAAATCACATTATTTTATTACTCATTAATACTATCTAATATCATCTTTCCATTTCTTCATTATTTTTCCTTTTCTTTATTGAGGTGTGGTTGACATACAATGCTAAATTAGTTTCAGGCTTACAACAGAGTGACTGGACAGTCCTGTACATATAACACTAGTATATTATTGACTGTATTCCCTATGCTATACTTTTCATCCCTGTGACTTGTTTATTTTAGAACTGGAAGTTTGTACCTCTTAATTTTTTTCCTTTTAATAGAGTTTACTTTTTAGGAGCACCTCGGTAGCTCAGTCACTTAAGCATCTGACTCTTGATTTCTGCTCAGGTCATGATCTCATAGTTCATAAGATCGAGCCCCACGTCGGACTCTGTGCTGACAGGGTGGAACATGCTTGGAATTCTCTCTCTACTTTTCTCTCTGCCCCTCCCCTGCTTTCTGTCTGTCTCTGTCTCTCAAAATAAATAAGTAAACTTAAAAACTAAAATAAAATAACTGAAATTTAAAAAATAGAGTTTGCTTTTTAGAGTTTTAGGGTTACAACAAAATTGAAACAGAAAGGCCATACGCGCCTGGCCCCCAACACATGCATACTCCCCCACTATCAACATCCTATACCAGAGTGGTACATTTGTTAAAAGTGATAAACCTACACCGATACATTCTTACCACACAAAGTCCACAAATTACATCAGACTTCATGCCTGGTGTTGCACATTCTATAGGCTTTGACAGATGTATACTGTATCCACCACTGCGGTGTCATACAGAATAGTTTCACTGCCTGTGTTAGTCAGGATTCTCCAGAGAAACAGAACCAATAAGATACATATAAAAGAGGAGGTTTGTTATAGAAATTGGCTCACTTGATTATGGAGGCTGAGAAGTCCCACGATCTGCTGCCTGCAAATTGGAGAACCAGGAAAGCTGGTGGTGATTCAGTGAATCTGAAGGCTTGAGAGCCAGGGGAGCAGATGGTGTGAGGTTGAATCCCAAGGCCTAAGAGTCAGGGGGAAGAGGGAGCTGATGGTAAAGTCCTGATACAAATCTGAAAGCTGGAAAACCAGGAGTACCTGTGTCTAAGGGCAGGCGAAGCTGTCCCAGCTCAAGCAAAGAGAGCAAATTTGCTCTTCCTCCAACTTTCTCTTCTCTTAAGGCCCTCAGTAGACTAGATGTTGCCCACCTGCACTGGTGAGGGCAAGCTCCTTTACTCAGTCTACCAATTCAAATGCTAATTTCTTTTGGAGACACGCTCACGGACACACGCAGAAACAATATTTTACCAGCTGTCTGGGTGTCCCTTATCCCAGCCAAGTTCACACATAAAATTAACTATCACACTGCCCTAAGAATCCCCGGTGCTCTGCCTATGTGTCCTTCCCTCCCTTGAGCTCTTAGTAACCACTGATCCATTTACTATCTCCATAGTTTTGCCTGTTTCCAAAATGTCATTTAGTTGGAATCACACAATAGATAGCCTTTTCAGATTGGCTTCTTTTTCACTCACTAATATGCACTAGTAATATTCATGCAGGGGAAGTAATATTTCACTTAGGAATATCCTCCATGGCTTGATAGCTCATTTCTGTTTAGCACCCATTTCCTTTCAGTTCATTTCTTTTTACTGCTGAATAATATTCCATTGTCTGCATGTATCACAGTTTAATCATCTGTTCAACTACTGAAGGACATCTCGGTTGCTTCCAAGTTTGGGAAATTATGAATAAAGCCACCCTCAATATCCATGTGCAGTTGGTTTTTGTGGGGTTTTTTTTTTTTTTTTTTTGGTAGACATAAGTTTTAAATTCATTTGGGTAAATAACAGAGCACAATTACTGGATTATACGGTAAGAATAAGTGTGTATGGAACCGCCACACTATCTTCCAAAGCAGCTGCACCATTTTGCATTCCTACCGGCAATGAATAAAGAGTTCCTGTTGTTCAGCAGTCTCTTCAGCATTTAGTATTGTCAGTGTTTTTGGGTTTTCAACCATTCTAATGCATATGTAGTGGTATCTTGTTGATTAATTGGGTTTTTTGGGGGGGGTTGTTTTGTTTGTTTTTTGTTTTTGTTTTGTTTTGTTTTGTTTTTGGTGTATGTGAGCCATTATAATGGCTCTAAGAGTCAGAGCTATACAAAAATATATGCACAGAGAAGTGTTGTTCTCCCGCAGCCCCACTGCCTGGTTCCCATTTCCCTCTTCTTTCTATCCCTTTCCTGACGCATCCCAGTAGGTACCCAATCTTTTCAGTCTCTGGTTTATCCTTTCTATATTTATTTCCTTTATACAAATGAGCAGATACAAAGGGGCACCTTGTGGCTCAGTTGGTTAAGCATCCGACTTCTGCTCAGATTGTGATCTTATGGCTCATGAGTTCGAGCCCCATGTCAGGCTCTGTGCTGACAGCTCAGAGCCGGGAGCCTGCTTCAGATTCTGTGTCTCCCTCTCTCTCTGCCCCTCCCCCACTCATGCTCTGTCTCTTTCTCAAAAATAAACATTTAAAAATTTAAAAAAAAAAGAGCAGATACAAGCATATTTTCTTTCTTTTTTTTTTTTTAAATGTTTTATTTATTTCTAGGAGAGAGAGAGAGACAGCATGAGCAGGGGAGGGTCAGAGAGAGAGAGACACAGACTCTGAAACAGGCTCCAGGCTCTGAGCTGGCAGTCAGCACAGAGCCCGACGCGGGGCTCGAACCCACGAAGCGCGAGATCATGACCTAAGCGAAAGTCGGACGCTTAACCGACTAAGCCACCCAGGCGCCCCAAGCATGTTTTCTTATATCCCCTTTTGTCTTACATGAAGAGTAGCTAGTTTAGATACGTTTTTGCATAATAAATTAGTTATTTTTTTATTATCTTTGAATGTTTATTTTTGAGAGAGAGAGAGAGAGACAGTATAAGTGGGGAAGGGGCAGAGAGAGAGAGACACAGAATCGGAAGCAGGCTCCAGGCTCTGAGCCATCAGTACAGAGCCCAGCGTGGGGCTCAGACTCACGAGCTGTGAGATCATGACCTGAGCTGAAGTCGGACATTCAACCGACTGAGTCACCCAGGCACCCTCAAATAGTTATTTTAAAATCTGTTTCTGAAAACACATTATCTGGATACCTTGTGTGTCCACTTAATTGTCTTATCTGCCTGCATATTTTTGATTGAGTGGTATACATTTAATATAAATAATTATAGAAATAACTTGAGACCTAGGATGATATTAATTCCTCCCGAGAGATTTGCTTTGGCTCCTGGCAGGCATTTAGGAGCCTGAACAACCTGTGATCACCTTAATCCAGTTTCTAGAACTAAGATGATGCAAAGCTGCACTCAGTCCCTGCAAGGGCCAATTTACTACACATTCACCTTTTCTCCTAAGATATAGCCCTCCAGAGTTCCAATCCAAAAGAATCTTCTTGCAAGGTTCTGGACTCCAAGTTTTGTCCTCCAGACCTTGAGGGAATGATTCCCCTCGGACGTATGGCCCCAATGCCTTGCTCATCTCTCTGTCGTTTACCTGATTCCCTTGTGTCTCAGCCCCATATTTTTCCTGACTTATTAGCTCTTTGATGCCTTCAGACAGGTGGTTTGTAATATTTTGTTAGGTTTTTCTATTGTCCTCAGTGGTGAGTATGCCTCAATTCTGCCATTCCAGAAGAAGTCCCCTCATTGCTTTTTAATTGAATCTAAAATATTTCATTTTAGATGCTGTATTTAGTTATTTTTCAAATAGGTCTAATCTTTTCTCATATTTTTAAATTATCTTGTGTATTTAATCAGTTCACGTGTGTGCGTATGTGTGCACACGTACGCTAAGTTCTCTTAGCTAAGTTCTTGCCAATCTAATACCGCTATTGTGTCTGTTAACTCATTCATGGTAGATTGTTTCCTTATGCATTTTGTAACTTTAGAGATGAAGTCCTTTGCAGAAGGACCCCTCTGTGTGGCCTCAGTTGAGGGAATGCCATGTTAAAGCAATATTGTGTTTGCTTCTACAAAGCATCCTGCACCACCATCTTGGTTCTTACTTTAATTTTTCCAACGGGTTGAGAATAAATGAATATGAAACCATGTGAGGCAGAGGACTTGGGTTTCTAATTCTCAAGGGAGACTCTTTCCCCCATCCGGAACCCAGGCTAAGACAACCTTGCTTATTGTTTCCCAGTGCTGGCAATTAGATTTTTTTTTTTTTAATCTGTACTATGATTTCCCAAAGGATTTGCCCCCTCAAGAGTCCTGGCTTCATGCAGGGTCGTGATCCTCGCTAACAGTCTGCCTGCAAGGCCTCATTTTCTGTCCTTGCCTGGATGTTAAAACACAGCCAGATATTTCATAAGACCAACTGTTGCCCACTCCACCACTACTATCTGCTCAGAGGACTGCTAGATCAGCTCAAATGCTTAACACCTTGGATTTTCGGTTTTCTCTTTATTTTTGGCCTCCGAAGGATTTCCTTTATTTTCTTGAAGGCACTATGGTGCTTGTAAAAGAGTGTTTATTGTATTTTAGTCAGCATTTCTAGGTTACTGTAATGGGAAAGATTGCAGGTTCTCTAACATTCCATTGCTAGAAATAGAAGTCGAACAATTTTTTCTATCACTACTATCATAGTGAAGCTATAGGACAAGTCTGAGTATTTTATGTGAAAAAATGAGCAGAATTGCCCTACTATGCAAGTTTGGGACAGTAAATATGCTTTCTTTTTTTCCTTATCTCCCCAAGAATCACCCAGAGAACAATCTAAAGGCCGATCTGCCTGTGTCCACTTCAGCCCCAGTGAAGGCAATGATGGAAACAGGCCTCCAGGAGTGTCCTCTGTTGAGAAGTCCAGAGGTGAGACAGTTGGCGAGCGGCGATGTGACAAGGGGAAAGGCTTCTTGAAGCAGCCCTCCTGCATCAGGGTGGCTGGGCCTGATGAGGAAGGAGGGGACCCCAGTGGGCCAGCTGCAAGCCTTCCACAGCAGGATGGCCACCGGAAGCCCAGCAGGCGGCAGGACCCAGCACCCAAAGCCAGATGTGCCTCCCAGAAAAGGCGCATTCGAGAGCTCAGAGGAGGAAGGGGCTCCCTGTCTGGTTCTAGCCAGCCTGGCAGTGCCAAGGGGGAGGTGGTCCACACTGGGCAGAATCCTCTCCACCATCGGACACCAAGAAACAAAGTGACACAGGCCAAGCTCGCAGGAGGCATCTACTCAGATTTGCCACAGAGCACAGAGGTGTTGAGGTCAGCAGTGAGGAAGTCGGGAACATCCACCCTGTCTGAGGACACTCGGCTATCCAAGGAGACTGATCCGGCACCTGGTCCCCTCTCCGGGCAGAGTGTCAGTATTGACCTTCTCCCCGTAGAGCTGCGGCTGCAGATAATCCACAGAGAAAGGAGCAGGAAAGAGCTGTTTCGCAAAAAGAACAAGGCGGCAGCTGTCATCCAGCGGGCCTGGAGAAGGTAGGACGATGGGGGCGCCACGGTGTCTCTGGCTCTGTGGCTGTCCTGCCGCTCCCAGCATGACACCCCCGGTCCTCGGTGGCATTTTCTAGTGAATTCCACGTGCTGGCACAACAAGGCCAATTTTACTGGACCTGCCCGTAAAACTCATTCCTGTGTAGGTCCTAGTTATTTACATTGGATAAGCTATTTGGGAGATGTTTTTGCCAAGAAAGGTAGGAAGTACCCAGGGTAGCCTGGTGTAAAGGAAAAAAGCCTCAGTGTGTAACCAGGAAGCCTGAGTTTCAGGTTTCTGACAAGTCATCTGACCTTGGGCAAATCACGTGGCCTCCCTGACCCTCAGTTTTCTCATCTGTAAAACAGGATTTAGTAATCGCTGCACCCACCCTGTTTATATGGCAGGCTGTTGAACGAGATGGTGTGCACTATGTAATTTCTAAAGCCCTACCCATGGTAGATACTTTATTTTTCTTTTTATGTTTTTACTACCCACAAATTAGTCATACCCCAAGTACCTAAGCCAGGGTGCATTTATGGTGGATTGAGTGGCCGAATGTTAAACATATTGCAAGAACCTGCGAGAGTACCTGCCAAGCTGGGAATGTGGGGTAGGTGCAAGGAGTAGTGGGTAGAGGAGAAATAACGGAGACAGATCCTTCCAGAGAGTAATCATGGGAGGACTGAAGGAGTCCTTTGCTACAAGGTTTTCGCGTATTTCATAGTCTCATTCATCTATCTGTAGGCCCCACTAGGGCCTAAATCTATACTAGGCCTTAGTAATGATCAGAGTCGGGGGAAGGGCTGCAGCCATCGCCCACAGCTGCGGGTCAGGTGTCCTCCATCTCCAGAGAGAGGAAGGTTGATGGAGGAACAATGCAAGCAAATCACTGAGAGCACAGGTGTGCCGCATGTCAACACCCCTGTCAGGAGATAAAAAGGGCGGAGAGACCCTAACGCTGGCAGAGGAGAAGGGTTAGCAGGGGGGAGGTTCCTGTGAGGTCCAGGGAGAGGCCTCAGGGGCTGTGGTGCCAAGGACTGCCTGGCCGGGAGCCGGGCAATCTGCTTCATGCTGGCACAGCTTTTGCTACAGTGGGTCCTCGTGTCCATTCCGGCTGCTGGTCTTATAAAGTCATCTTCTGCCTGAACCCCTTTGCTCTCCCAGCCGCCCCAGGAAGCTGGGACACGGTAGGGATCAGTGTCCCCATTTTTCAGGCAAGCAAATGGTCTCAGGAAAAAATGATTTGTCCTGGTGATACAGATCAGGCACTTGAAGCTCGGACTCCAGGGCCTTTCCCGTATGTTCTCAGTAAAGGCAGTGTTTGCGGTGGTCAGGATAACAGCGGCGGAGGCAGGCCTCACGCCCCTCACCTTAGAACAGGCGGGGAGAAAAGGGCTGCCTGGATGGTGCTCACACTCGTCAAGGTAATGTTGTTACAGGGGGATGTTGTTACTACTGTCATTAAGACTAGTACTTGGCATTTTTTAGGCACTTGTGCCAGATGCTGTTCTAAGTAGTTTTATGTATGTTAACTATTTTTTTTTTTAAATATGGAAAGCTCTTTAAGTGCCGGGCTGGCTTGAAGCTGCGGTAGTCTGCCTCTGAAGTCCTAGATGGGAACGGTCCTTGCTCCCCCTCCTAGGGGAGCTCTGCCAGGAGGTGCACTGGCTACCGTCCCAGAGGAACTTTTTAAGTATTTCAGCTGAAACCTGGGATCTAAACAAGCCAACAAGGTTTACCATATCAGGCCCCACAGCTGCTCTCTAGCTAAAATGCCTTCCAGTCAAACTGTTTCTTTGACTCCTTTGAAGAGTCAGAAGCTGACAGGTCCTGTCCGTAAGCGTCCATAGCAGCAAATGAGCTTTCAGTCATCCCCCCAGGAACAGTGGGCTCATAGTCTATAGGCCCATCTGGGGAGGCAATTACACAGGCCCTCTGGCTGCACCATTGTACAATTCTGAGACCTGGGACTTGGACTCCCAAAGGGATTGTGGGATGCTGCACATTGTGGGAAGTCACATGTCTGGCGACAGTAGAAACAGTCCCGTTGATTCTGTGATATAGCTTTGTGCATCTTCTATTTTAAGTACAGGAGCCCACAGCATTGTCCCGGAGCAGGGTATGGTGTCTGGGACCAAACCTAAGGAGCAATGAGGGGTGGGGTAGAGCACAGGGCTTGGGCACACAACTGCTCCACAAATGCAGACTATCATAGGAGACCTGTTGAGGACGGAGACAGGCAGACTGGGAAATGGGCAGGGATAGGGCGAGCTGAGTGAACCTTGGGCCCTGAGACCTGAGGCTTAGTCTTAACGTGTGAGTCTTCTTACCAATCAAGACTTTATTTTCAAAACTGAAGCTGGACCCTGGATGGTCTAAGTGAAGCCGGAAAGTTGCTGTGGCTAAGAGCAGTTGTGTTAAACGCTTCCATCTTATCTGAACATTTGTAACTACCTTCCTATCAGCTCTTCTCTAGCATGTTGTGAAGTTAATAAGCAAGGACGGGCTGGACCATAAGAGCCGTGAGCCGTGGGCTGAGAGGGATGACTGGGCATCTTAGGACTCTCAACAAACCAGAAGTGCTATTTTCCTTGAAAACAGAACAGAGGCTGCTACTCTGACCCCTGGCACCATCCTGTCATCTGGACAGACTCAAAAGTCTGCATACCGTAATCGATTAGGTGGAAGTTGTACACCATGAAAGCCAACACATGGGTTTCCCAGTGAGTTTTCTGCCCACAGAGTGGAGGGTGTGGAAGATCCCTGGTATCACAAACCAAAGAAGCTGAACTATGGAGCAGTACTGCCCCATTATCACCAGCTTTTCCCCATAGTTGGCTTTTTTGGAAATGTGATCTATATTCTAGTAGAGAGATGCCTGGTTTGGCATGGTACAGGAAAAAGAAGAATCATGAAGGTTGAGTGAAATCAGCCTTTAGGGCAAGAAAGGACTGTACCTAGGACCACAAAGAGCTTTTCAGCAGACCTCAGGAAGATGTCATTTCCCATTTGGTGTATCGTAAAGTCAGGCCTGGGGCCTGTTGCTTTCTGCAGCACTTTACAGGCTCACTAGTAATCAGCTACCAATCGGATAATAAGAGTGATGCAGGTTTCCTTGAGAGGCTCCAAAACAGCTGTGTTCACTAAGTTCAGTAAGAGTCCATGTGGGACAGACATCATCAAACAAACGTTAGCTGTAAAGAGAGCCATCATCCCCATGCCCCATAGCTCTGTCCCACTCCAGGCCCCACCCTGCAATAGAACGAACCTAGTAAAATACCGCTCGCTCTTTTGCCATCCTTTTTAAAAACCTCTGCCGATGCCTGCCAAGTACATAGCACAGATCAAAGACCTTGACAGTGTTTGGCTGTTGGGCCAGACGGCACCAAATATGAATGTTGGTCTCTCCTGGCTCTGGCTGTGAGACCTTCTTCAAGTTACTCAGCTTCTTTCCCCACCAGTTTTATTGAGCTATAACTGACACACAGCCTTGTAGAAGTTTAAGGTGTACAGCATAATGACTTGACTTACATATATGATTCATATGAAGTGATTACCACAATAAGTTTAGTTAACATCCATTATCTCAGGTAGATTTTAAAAAGCAGGAGAAAAACAATTTTTCCCTTGTGATGAGAACTTTGAGGATTTACTCTCAATAGCTTTCATATATACCATAAAGCAGTGTAAACTATAGTCATGATGTTATCAATATCCCCAGTACTTATTTATCTCATAACTGTAAGTTTGTATCTTTTTGTCATCTTCACCCAGTTCCTCCTCCCCTCACCCCCTGCCACTGGTAACCACAAATTTGATCTTTTAAGATTATACATATGAGTGAAATCATACAGTATTTGTCCTCGGACTTCACTTAGCATAATGCCCTCAAGGTCCATCCATGTTGGAAATGGCAGAATTTCCTTCTTTTTATGGCTAATACTCTACTGTATATATACACAGTTTCTTTATTGATTCAACCATGGGTGGACGCTTCCATGTTTTGGCTGTTGTAAACAATTCTAATGTGAACATGGATGCAGATATCTCAACATAATTTTTCATTTCCTTCTATATAAATCCCCAGAAGTGGAATTGACAAATCATATGGTAGTTCTATTTTTAATTCTTTGAGGAAAATCCATACTACTTCCCACAGTGGCCAAACCAATTTACTGTCCCACCAACATTGCACAAGGCTTCCATTTTCTGCACACCTTCACCAACAGTTGTTTTCTCTTTTGATAATGGCCATCCTAATAGGCATGATGTGATCTCATCGTGATTTTTATTTGAATTTCCCCTATGATTAATGATGTTGAGCACCTTCTGGTGTACCTGTTGGCCACTCATGTATCTTCTTTGGAAAAATGTCTATTCGGGTCCTTTGCCCCTTTTTATCAATGGATTATTTGGGGTTTTTTTGCTAGTTATAGGAGTTCTTTATATATGTTAGGTAATAACCTCTTATCAGATAGATGATTTGTAAGTATGTTTCCCCTTCCATAGTTGTTTTTATTTTGTTCATCATTTATTTTGCTTTGTTGAAGCTTTTTACTTTGTAGTCCTGCTTGTTTTTGTTGTTTGTGCTCTCAATGTCATATAAAAAAAAATCTGGTAACATATACTGTCAAGGAGCTTTTTTTCTCTGGGTTTTCTCTTAGGAATTTTTGGTTGTACATTAATGTCTTTTTAATCCATATCGAGTCTATTTTTGTGAGTGGTGTAAAATAGGGGTATAGTTTCATTCTTTTACATGTGAACATCCAATTCTTCTAGCACCATCTATAAAACAAATGCTCTTTTCTCCATGGAGTGTGCTTGGCTCCCTTGTCAAATATAGTTGACCGTATATGCATGGGTTTATTTGGTCTATGCATCTGTTTTTATGCTGGTACCATATTGTTTTGATTACTATAACTTTATTTTATTTATTCTTAAATAGTTTGTCAAGTTGGTTTCCATAGAACACCCAGTGCTCATCCCAACAAGTGCCCTCCTC